GTCATTTGGGGTAATAAAGTGAAGTACACAACATTACCACACTTAACACTTTACCCAACTCAGAGAACACTTTTCTATTGAAACAAACTTCCTGATCGATGCAAGTCTCTTCCAGTGCTTCAAATTATGCTATCCAGTGCTCTCTCCATCACATAAGCTACGGATTGTACCAATATGTTAAGCAAAAGATAATCCTCGACCCACTTCTTGAAATAGTCAGTGGTAGTGAGTATGAGCTAATGATCTCTCTTAGTCTTTAGGAGTAGACTAGTGATATCTGAGGCCCTTCTCTAAAAATGACACCCAGCAGTTCTCTGTTGGACCAGATATATAGACAAAACTGACTAATAATTTTCAAATTACATCCATTTCAAAGGTGCCAAAGCCAGATCGAGGATTGCGATGACGACCTTCATTCTATGAGCAACATTTCCTAGTCACACCAGGAGACACGCCTCTGCACTTATAACCAGTGTGGTAGCATCTCAGTACAATTGTGCGTGGATGGCTGATCAGCTTTTGGCATTAGTTGATCTTGACGTGGAGGATACAACAGAATAAGGCGGTTCATCTAAGGCATCCACAGTAGCTATCACTCAAGGTTTCTTCCTCTTTAATGGCTTGCTGGAATTTACCACTTCGTACCTGGTCATGATAAAAACTGCCTCTGTTAAGATTCCTCACGCCCAGGTGGTACCTCATTATCTCACCATAAGTACCTCAACACAGTTATCCACTAATGTTTGTGATATGTTGCAGACACTGTAGGTAACCATTACCATACAGACATGGATGGTGCTTCTTTTCTGATTTTTAAATCTCACCTGACAGATTGCTCAATTGCCCTTTTGACCATACAAGTAGAGCAGCTTAACCACATATTTGTTCCACTCTTCTTGTTACACCTCATTTAAATGCTCAATGGAATCCTCGACTAGATCAATTAGGCTCAGGATCAAGCACTGGATTAACTGCTCCTGAGTCCAAACATATAAAGCATTTATCTGCCTGAAACATTTCAGAAAATGGTCCAGACCTTCCTTCACCATACTTTCAGCATTGGAAGTGGAAATATGCTTGGTTTCACTCAAAGAATGTATGGTGCTGGCCAAAAACACTACCTTGCAGGTTCTCAAACAATGCTTCACAGAGACATCACCAATGTCATTGGTATAGAGAAATAAGTATTCCCAAGGTCTCTGACACTCAAACAAGCAGTTGGTTCCTTGTCCCTGATGGCAGTTAAAAGTTGCTTTTGGTAGCTGATCCTCAAGCTTTCTGTAACTCCAAGTTTCTTTGTGATCTGTGGTTATCCTGGCAGAATATCTCTTGTCTAGGTTATTCATTGGAAAATAAACATAAATATATATCTAAATATATAACCAAGGTCAAAGTACATAGTTTCGTCGTCGATACGACAAAAATGTATTCCATCTTGTGATATACTGATGACAAGTAAATGTTGACCACTGATAACCAAATGGTATTAAATCTTAATCAAAATTTTGAATCTCTACGTCCTTCCTCCCTTTTTTCCCCATCAATCAAGGATTATGGAGCTACCATTTCATTCTTTGGAGTATTAGATGATTTTTATTTTTATTTTACTGAATAATCCGTCTCCTTCCATTCTTGGCTTACTGACTGATGTGTTCTTTGCCGTAACTTACAGGCTCAAAAAGTGGATCCAGAACACTAAAAGAATTGACTTGAATGAGAATTACATTGAGCAGTGTGTCTTGTATGATGATCATTTCGAACCAGAGATGTTCATTTGTCCCTCTGACAAACACTCGAGCCATATCTACCCTGTTCGAGGTTCCGAACCCTTCACCGAGTGTCAGCACGAAAAGACGAGTTATAGAGCAAGTTTAGCCTCCCTTCAAGAAAAGTAAGTATCCTATCACTCAAGGATTTTGTTTCAAATTTTGCGTTCTTTGTATTTCAGTATGGTGCATTGTACTCTGATAGCCAGCTTGGAACATTGCACATTGACAGATTAATCTATCTTTTTTTTTCAGCTACCATAATTAGCCCAGTAAACAACATGGACTCTCCGAATGTTACCTCCCTCGACAACAACAATTTTTCACAACTGGAAAGCCTGGTGAAATTACCGAGGAAGAAGCTGCAAAAAAGTAAATGCTCTTCAAATGAAGAATTGGCAAATAAAGAAGTACATAGATGCCCAGCAGTCATGATGAATCACAGCCACAGTGGAATAATCAACAAGATGCCTGGCTTGTTTTATCGACCTGCACAGATTAGTTTTTGTGATGTTCTTAGAACTGTAAGAGATTTCATAAACACAAATTCCATAACAGAAGAAATAAAGACTATTTGTTTGACAATATTGTTTCATGGTTGATAAAAGTACGCTTACCCTCTTGAAATATGCTTTTTAGTATTGCAACTCCCCCTCCCCAAAAAAAACTTTTGCAAAGAATTGATTTGAGTCATGAATTTTCTTCCAATGTGATAGATTTGTTAAAGATAAAACTTGGGTTTTCAAAACTTGACAAATATTATATTCTCACCTTTGATGAAATGCCCTTGAAATATCATTTGGATTACGACGAGATATAGAATGAAATAATTGGCTTTGTGGATCATGGATCACAAAGCAAGTAAAAAAAACTTAGCTGACTAGCTTTCGTTTTCATGGTGAGGAATATATTTACTCACTGAAAACAGCCCGTTGTTTTTGTTTTTTCTATGCCAAGGATAACAAACACGAAAAGGGTTCATCCCAACGCTACGATATTGTATCTTTGTTAATAATATTGTAACTGATACGTGCATCACCAATAAGAGTTTGGTTAACAAGAGATTGGGTGTCACCACTGAAAAACCATTCTTTTAGTATAATGATAACAAATACTTTGTCATGTTTGTTCCGTCACATTTACAGTAAAAACCTCAAAAACAATGTACACAAATAATACACTTTTCTTGTTGATGGTAATGTTATTTCTTGGAAGCATATAGGAAAATTATTTGACATTAATTCACGTAAAGGTTTCGAGAACAAGGTTTGCGTCTTGTTTCCAAGTTGACTGCAAAACATGTAATGTTCCCCCTCCCCCTTCTCAAAGTTGAAGGTAAAGACGGGTGCTCAAGTGGTACAGTCTTATCAGCAATCATGAGGTATACTTTTATGGGACACTTGCCCCAGGAGGCTTTTCACATTGCCGTTTTGACTAGTAAAATTGATAAACGTTTGATTCATTGAGCAGTAAAGCACCTCGAAACGCTAATCATTTCAAATAGAGCATTAGGACTGGATCTAGTCACTTACTCTTTCTTAAACAAATGTGCGAGGTGTTTTCATCAATGACGGTAATCGACACATCAAGACTAATCCCGTCCATTACAGGATGACAGGTTTCTATCAACTAGTTATTGGAACTATTGGATGAGTTGAACACCATCGAGAGCCCTAAGAAGGTAGGACTGTCTTGAAAGTTTTCAACAATTCTGCAAGGGGATTTTCAAACAATTCATGTCCAAAATACTTCACCGAATGTTGGAAACATATCACGCTGAATTCTATGTTATCGCCAGCCACGAAGGCAAATTGTCAGTCTGATATTTCCAAACAATCATTGTCTGGCTACTCTTTTAAGAACCAGTTTCCGTTCCTGTGAGTGAAGATTCAGATTCATCTGTAGATCAGTCAATGTCCGATCTGACACCACCATCCAAAACAGAACAATCTATATTATGTCGTAGACTTCCATGTGAGTGAGAACTGTGAGCGTGCCATGAAAAGTGTGAAAACAGGTGAAGTGCCTCAAAACGAACACAGATTCACTTTTTCAAGGAATATGACCATTGTATGGTGGTTTAACTATTCCCACTCCAGACTTTAACCAGTTCTTGATGAAGTGCGAGGAGGTGTTTTTAAACCATTTCCAGCAGTTGACCAAAAGAACAAAATAGCAGAACGAACCAGAAATCAGGTGCTCCTCATTGACTTAATTCAAGGGATCAACATCAAGTTTGAATTCACTCTGTGAGATAATTCGATAGTACATCAAAATGAGAGTGTTCTTGTAAATGAAATTTATCAGTGAAGCACTGTGCGAGAAAAAAGCGTACGAATAAAACAGAGAAACAGAACAAGAAATTCAAGAAACTTTCTTACCAGTGATTTTCAGCTTGAGCTCGAACAATTAAATTGTACTCGATAGAAATTGTACAATTGCCACTAAGAAATATTGGATACAATAGAAATGTACACTATTCAAAGAATATTTGCTATTTTCACTAATTTTTCGCACATGTTATAGTAATTAAACAGGTGTGTATTACTGCGATAATCTGTTGTTAATGATGAAATAATTGTCATTTTTATACACATATATACTGCGTGTATTATAGTTCTACTTAAAATGTACTTGAATTTCTCACTCATCCCTGGTATAATTTCTTATTTCCCATATTTTAACAAATTATGTAACTTAAATATATTTTTTATATTAATAAGGAATAAGTAATAAATAATTAATAAATTGGGACCAACGAACTCACGTGATCTTTTACGTGTTACATTACGATTTTACTGAAAATGCAGAGATGTTTTAGTAAATAAATTAAATAAATAAATTATGATGACCCTACTTAATGAATTTTGAAGTACTCACTGCAGTAGCCAGGCAACATTATAATAATCATAGTTATTACTATTATTAAAATAATGTTGTCTTCTGACTGCATCATAATTATATTATCATATCACTGCCTATATATCATTTTTCATTCATGAAATATCGTCAATTAGTTTTATATTCGTGTCAACTAAAGTGCGGGTAAGTAGCCCGTAGTAGTGGTGGGTGAAAGACCATAACGACAGGCGGCGCTAGCGAGCCCTTGTGTAATCTCAGGAGGCGTGCTCTGTCCTTGTAGTTGTTTTTTACTCTATACTAATCTTTAGACTTGTAATAAGTTTATTCGTTACCCATTCAAGCCACCTCTAAACTTTTTTAGGGTCAAAGTGTGTTCCTCATTATCAAATTATAGTAAACATTATTAATTCTCTTACTTCATGATATAAAAATGTTTTTGTTTTTTTAACGTGACTTTGGTCACGTTTCGTGTATTTACTGCAGGTGATCTTCTTGCTTATTTGGACTGATAGAGTGCGCTACTGAAAGGCAAATACTTAGTCAAAGTTTATATATATACTAATATAAAAATGGAGAGCTTTGAACAGAAAATCGTCAAATTGAAAGAAATTATCAAGAATACTAAGTTATTTTTTATTTTGTGCAACATAATCATAGGGGTAAGTTTATGAGCATGTTTTATTTCGTGTAATATAGACATATGGGTAAGTTTCATGTTTTAGCACGGATTAGCAGTGTAATCTAGCGTATCGAGTGTTAAACAGACACGTATCGCTCGCCATCCTAAAGGCAGAAGCACAAAACTTGATATTGTAATCAAACGTTCTACGTTATTTTTTCGGTGTAAAGAAAATTCACCATTTCTATCTACTTCGCTCTATGAAACCATGTTTTAATACTTTTAAAAAGCTTTAAGAGCAAGTATCACTCTGTTAATCGCACGTTATAAAAGTTGCAGTGCTAGTACTTTGTACGGTAATTAAACATAGTCCCTACTAGTACGTTAATAACAACGCTATTTAATTAATAGGGAAAATCCCTCATACTTACCTACTTTGATACAAGTCCCCTCCCCCCAGTAGCACAGCGGTATGTCTGCGGACTTACAACTCTAGAAACCGGGTTTCGATACCCGTGGTGGGCAGAGCACAGATAGCTTATTGTGTAGCTTTGTGCATAATTACAAACAAACAAACTTTGATACAATTGTTATGTTACAATTATGTTACGTTACATAATAACGTGCAACATTTACTGGTAAAAGGTTTTTAAGTAAAAATATTTTGCTTATTTTTTATTTTTGCGTCTAGAATTTCTAAGTTTTGTAGATATACAGTATCTCATTTCCCTTTTTATAACATGACATTTATAAAATATCATTTGCGGTGGATATAGGTTAACAGTGCCTATGAACAAGACGCCACTGCCTTGACCGTTCCAGGTTTGAGAGCTTCTAAGACTATTTTGATAACTTTTTTTTTTTCATTTATATTCTATAGACGTAGGCTAAGAGGCTATCTCCAAAAATTCAAATCGTTTTATCAAAATTGTGCGGATAGTTCCAATATAAGGAAAACATAGAATCATACGATGTAGGTATGGTAAGTCTGTTGGGAATTACCATGAAGTCGGTCATACATAATATAAAAAAGGTAAGCATATTTCAAGATGGTCTCTCCCTGTTACCACTTTTTTCTTTTTTTGCAAATTATTCTATTTGTTATTATATTTAGAGGAGTTTTTTTTTCAGTTATCATAAATTTCAAATGTTCTTTTCTTTCTGTAACTTGTTGCATTTAGTGTCACACAATATTTATTTTATATTTTAATCAAATTTTAATCTGTTTTGTTTAGTACATTTCCTTATGATTTCTTCTGTTCATTATTATGCTTAAACATGGCTTCTGTTTTAGAGTTTAGATTTAACTTATTCTTGTGCATTTTGTTTGTTTTTTTCGTTTATTATCACTGGATTTTAGTGTAATTTTTCATTATCATTTAGATTATTTTCATTCTATGTAGATATTATTATACTAACAATTACTGTTTTTTACAAGGTGTTTGCATTGGTTCAGTTTGGAACAGGACTAGCAATCCGAGAAGAACAGTTGGAACTGAAATCTAGTGAACGCCTGACCGTCAACCATATTACCATCGGTGCCATTATAGCAGTCGCGGCTGGTCCGTTTAGTTTCCTACTATGTATTTGGGGGATATACGTCATGAAACATAAAAAACTCTTCCTAAGTGTAAGTTGATATTACTATACGTAAACAGACTATAAAATAAACTTTCTTTAAAGCTCCCAAGCAAATGAACTATTAAACATGTAACACTAGTTGTTTTAAACAAAATATACTCATAGTTATTTGAGATAAAGTGCTTAATGGAGAAGGTTCTTTCTTAAAATAAACACACGTATATACGGATACAGGTTTAATAAACAAATGTTTGACTACACATGAAAGTGTCGAAACTATGAACTAGTGGTTCTCTAAGACTAGATCTAAACTTTAGATTACTTTGGACGGTATTTGCCTACTATTATAATGTTCTTTCTGTTCTCGCGCTTGTACCATACAGGAACTTAGTCATTTGTTGAAATAGAGAACGGGTGCTAGGTGATTTATATGCAGATTCTATTCAATGCTGTACACGCCTTGATCTTGTTTTCTGAACTTATGTTTTTCCTTTAAGAATACAAATGCCCCCAAAATATTTTAGGTTTGTTAGATGGCCAAGCAAGTAGCTTCTTTTCTAAGTATATTGATCAATCGTCTTCAAAGTTTAAAAATTCTATAACTTAATTAATTATAAACGTTTCACTGAGCACTATCCTTAGTTTCCGACATGACTGGGCATGGCCTAATTGTGTATCGGAAGGTCCCAGATTCAAGCCTAGATACCCCGCAGAACATGCTCATACTTTCAGCTATGAAGGTATTATAACTGTGACATCCGATCCTATTATTCGGTTAATAGTAGCCATGTAGAGGGGCGGATCCTGTTGACTACTTTAACTTACACTCCCCGTGACTGTCAGTTAAAAATTAGAACTTAGTAGATTCGACTGTATACTGAACGAAATGCAATATAGGTTGAAAAGAATAAATACCAAACCAATTTCACACAGTGTTGTTAAGTGCTTAGCTAGATATTTTCTATGGTGAAACATAATTTGTCAGCAATTTGTTTGCAGTATAATAAATCAATTTTGCCTACAGCTTAGACCTCTTTTATGCTGTTAAAACATTTAGATTTAAAATACAAATAAACTAATGATACAAACATTGTTAATGTTCCAGGCGTTTATCGTATCAATATGTCATGCTTACTTGAGTGTCCCCCCCCTCTCCCAGTGGTACAGTATTAAGTGTGAAACTTATAACACTAAAAACTGATACCAATGGTGGGCACAGCACATATAGACCATTGTATTGTTCTGTGCTTAACCACAAACAAATACTTGAGAGTTTACAGAAATGTATTTACATAATCACAATAAATGATGTCCTTAGAGAATATTGTTAAAGGCTGGTCAAATTAGAAATCGTAATAAATTAAAATGTAAAAATTAATTCTTCTGTTTATATTTTCTTGGAGGTGGGGGAGTTCTGTTAGCAAGTGGTATTAAATTCATACAGAAATACCTAACACGAAATTCTCGAGAAAACCATCTAAAGCAAGAATTTATCCAAAGAAAAAATAACTATTAGAAATATTATTAAAACATCCCACACACTATTAGAACGAGATATAAATAGAATCTATAGCAGAACGCTAATAATTAAAACACATAGTTAGCGTTGGGATAAGAACTTTCAGTTTTGGATCATTACATTCTGGAAAAAAAACACGTGAATTTCAGTCTTTCAAAAAACTGTTTGTATATCAGATCAGATACTATGAAACAAAGAACGATAACCGTCTTCTGATACCGAAATCTCGGTTTGGTTCTTTGTTTACTCAACTGTCTTATCTTTAGTCATCATTTATCATTTCCTAACAGCCACATATCATTAAAAGAAAAAGTAAAATATGCCATTTTTTATGTATGTTTAGATTTTTTAAATAACCCTTTTTTCCATTAAGGTCGTTATTTGTAATATTTCATTATCCTTTTTTTTCTTTTAATAACCTTATTTAATGAGGGAAATACTGATATCTACCAGTAACACTTTATTACATGAGAAAAATGCAAACATCCAGCAATAACACATTGTCAAGTTAGACCATTTCTTGGCTATATCACACCTTGCTTCTTATTTACACTGGTATATGTGCTTTTTGGCGCGTGATAACATCACTAGTTTGATACAACGTGACCGCAAAATTAAACTTATGTTTTGTACCCACTCAGTGGTATAAGATCATTTGTATGCTATTGCAAGTGTCTACACATCTCTGTGTTATTTCCGTGTCCTTTAGAGAGCTGTTTGCTCTGAAAACAACCAAACAAACAGAAAGCTATTTTAGTAGTTGTCAAGTGCGATTAACAAGCCACCTTCTCAAACAGTTGGAACTAACCAAGAAGGCGATATAGCTTTTACCTCTTGGTCAGCTTATTCTTCCATCCCTGGCATATATCGGGGTCAGTCTTCATCACCTTTATCGACCTCCTGATTTTCTTGGATATTTTTCCCGCTTTTGTTTGTCAGTTTCACTAAGTGATATGAAAGAGGAATGTAAAAATTCCTTAAAAGTCTTGGTTAACCAGTCATTAGCTGGGAATTTTGCATTAATTAGTTTAAAACCATTAATTTTGTAGGTTGTTTTAATTTTGCATATGCTTTATTCTTAAATAATGTATGATTCGTGAAAATGTTAAAAATATTCCAATAAGCCTAGAAAACCGTCAATGAAACTTAAGACATACTGTATTAAGTTTTTAAACCTGTGCATTACTTGAAAAAACTGGCAATGAAGTGCAGGGGTCTTACAGTTTATGTATTCCATATCGGTATAGATTTCCTGGTGAAACTTCATATTAAGGAATTATATCATATCATACATACATTTCCATTGAAAAACATTTTGAATTAAATAGATGAAACAATTTATCTTGTGACTGTATTACATTTATAACTTCTGCGATGTTCAATGCCATCATTAACTGAGATTTTTATGCTTTTTCAAACAAAATAGAATCATATACATATATATATGTGTGTGTGTGTGTGTGTGTGTTTGTGTGTATTCGTGATATTTCTTATTGTTAATGTTCTGATGATCAGTGTATTCATATCTTTGAATATAGTGTCCGGAAACTATACACCACATTAACCCTATTTTTAGAATCACGTTTTTGTACGTAAGAAAGAAAAAAACCTTAAGAGCTATATACATCTTATATTGTTTAGACATGATTATTTTAGCTATTTTTCCATATAAAAATAAGATGGTGTTTGTGGTGTCACTACAATAATGCAAAAAATTATAAAAAAACCTCAAGAGGTTTCCACAAACGAGCTTATAATTCACCTATATATAGCTATCAAATGTAGGAGACACTTGGATAATGTAGTTAGATAGAGGTTATTTTTTTCTGCCTTTGGTTGTAAAGCATTTTTCCAAATGAAGTTCCAAATGTTTAATTAGAAAATTAAAGTTACTGTTTTGATATTTGATTGAATGAATTTATTGCAAGCTGGAATTACTAGTATAAAACACACGAGCTCGCTGGGGCTTACAGGCATCCTTATGACATACAGAGGCCCCAATGTGATGGTTAAACCACTCCATTGTCTTCAAGTGTTTCTATAACTACCCAAAGGGGGAGCTTGTACCCGAAAAACAAACCCCGTTAGGACACCCGCTAGTGGTACCTGAACACATATGCCATGTTAGGTCCCATTAGATTGTGAGGAGAGGGTATGAACACAGTTTCAAAAAAAGAACCGGAAAGACAAAATTCAGTGCCAAATGCAGATTCAGCTACCCTGAAAGCAAACTCATTGATTCCACGACATGAATCAATACAGGATATGTATAAATATAATAGCATTATTAGTATAGGGTACTCGGAATTTTTTAAGACCATTTTGTATTAAGCAGTTGTTACTGGTACTTCGGTCATCAAGTGTAGCTATAACCCTCTTTACCTTCTTTATTGTATTTCCATATAAGAGTAAAGCCTTCTTTTATATCAACATATGAAGTTCGTATCAACATCCAAACCTTTCTTTTCTTCATAAATCTTTTTATAGCACACCGTTGCCATTGTAGTTCAGATATTTAGGAAAGTGTTTTTATTCCAAAAATATTTTGAAGTTAAAACTTTGATATTAGTTTGTAAATATTAATAATGTTCTCTCGTATCGGCCAGTTCTGTTAGAAATTAATTGTTTCCTTGGGGGGGAGGGGGCGTGCTTGTGATGAACGTACCACATGTTACTTCGATCCGAGTGACCCAAGAATTGGCCGTGAATGCTATTGGCTATCTGCTCTCCATTTAATCTATCAAATGAAACTAAGGATGGTTAACACAGATAGCCGTTCATTAGGCTTGCGCGAATATTTGAAATAAACATTTTTTTTTTACTGTTTTCATTTTTCCATCAGTTTCATTTATTGCTTTGAATTGTCTAATAATAAAAAAAAATTAAATCCTCTAATGACCGACCTATCAGTAAAATATCAAAAAAGTTATGTTTAGGTAATATTTGGGTTTATTTCCGAAATCAGTAGTTTCATTATTTCACAAAATATGAAGACAGATTCATCTTTACATTCCAAATACATCTTTCAGCCAGAACATTTCCCAAAATATTAAAATTTAATTCGAAAAAAAACATATGTCTTATTGTCAAACATTGTTTGTATCTTAATAAAATCATGCAACACCTAATCAATAGTACAAAGTTGCATCGTGATGATACAGCACATAATCAATATTACAAGTTATATTGTTCTAAATGTGAAATATTTCAGACTGTTATCACAATAAATAGACTTAAACACTATAATTTCTACCAAACAAATATTATTTAACCTAATTGTTTTATTTTTTGGTTAAACACAAAGCTGCACAATAGGATATCTGTGCTGTGACGTTTGGTTTGTGACGTTATAAGCCTATAGCCTTATCGCTGGGCCACTGGAAACATTTAACCTAAGCCTACAAATTATTTAATTGTTAACTTAAACTATCAAATCGTTTAGAAACTCATTTATAAAATACCTGAACAAATGTTTATCATATTCTATAGTATTGACAGAAGTAATTTGGTTAATAATGGCTAGAATAGTCGATATTATTTCTTTGAACAATTAAGTCACCTTAAATAAATATTTTTTTTATCAATTATTTCAATATTTTTGTCTTCTAATAAATCCTATAATTGATTTGTTTTATTTTTCACTTTTCCAGTACACCTTGCTTCTGATTCCTGTTGTTGCGGAAATCACATTGTGTGTGTTTGTTTGGAAATACTCCACTGGTGAAATGGTATGTTGATTTACTCAATATTGACATAGCAATAGCTCTTAGCTTCTGTTTGTGTTATTTGGTTCAACGAAAAGATGTATATAGCTGGTTATCTGCAGTGATTATTGAGTCTATTAGAAAGTTACCTTGAGACTGAAATTGTGAGATATTAGTTTATTAAGCTTGTTAGTCAGTCATTTCAGTGGTGTGATTACTGACTTTATGTTTCAAGGAAGAAATTTTGTTTGTCATTATTTGACATATTTTTGGATATTTCAGCCACTATCTTGAAACCTAATGGCACAAAATAAAAGAACATCAATACTTCCACAGACTATTATATAAAAACTGTTTGATACATCATAGGTTTTGAAGGTACGTGATTCAAAATATTATATTTTAAAAAACAAATGTAGGCATCATTTTTAAGATGGCGACTGCCTAACTATTCAAATGTCATGATAGTTTACTCTCAACGTGATCTAGCTATATAGTACTGAACGAAGAAGACCATAACACTCATACATTTCAGTTTTAACTAAAGAAACACAGACATAAATTACGAATTAATTGAGGAACAGGAGAAATCAATCTAAATGAACAGAAAATTATGCTACTTTTTTCTAGCGACGGAAAAATTACTCTATAAGAAGAAAAATGGAGATTTTCTCATGACATAGTCAAAAATCTCATTTATTAACCTCTTTGTTGATCAAACTCTAGAGCAAAAGATCATAGACATCAAGTAATTCGTAGAATCACTAGCATCACTAAAAATGAAGCAGAATTGAATAGCTTCTTCTTGATCACACCTGAGCTCATCGGCCTTGTCAATAAATTCTAGCTGCAGTAAAACCATGCCACTGGAAGTGAGTTGTTGTCAATACATTCCAGCTGCAGTAGAGCCATGCCACCGTAAGTGAGTTATTGTCAATACATTCCAGCTGCAGTAGAGCCATACCACTGAAAGTGAGTTATTTGTCAATACATTCCAGCTGCAGTAGAGCCATACAACTGGGAGTGAGTTGTTGTCAATACATTCCAGCTGCAGTAGAGCCATACCACTGGAAGTGAGTTGTTGTCAATAAATTCCAGCTGCAGAAGACCCATGCCACTGGAAGTGAGTTATTGTCAATAAATTCCAGCTGCACTAGAGCCATACCACTGGAAGTGAGTTGTTGTCAATACATTCCAGCTGCAGTAGAGTCATACCACTGGAAGTGAGATGTTGTTATCATCAAAAGAGACACTATCAACTCATTGGAATAAAATATACGCAGATCTTCAGAAATAGAGGAAAACATTAATGGTGATATTTTGAAACACCGTGGTGGAAAGTTCCTCATTGTACAAATAGTGGTTGTGAAAATTGTTCCACCTATGGTAGTTCTCGAAGCAGTAAAGATAGACATAATTTTCCACATTAATATGTGTCAGGTTAAATTTCTGGAGATCATTTCCTGCAAACTAATTCCAGAAAATAACGATCTGCGGTAGAATTGACAAGATGGCAAAACAAAAAGATCAGTAGTTCGATGAACATTAAAGTTGTACAATGAAAAACTTTACTCACACACACATTGAAACTCAAAAAAAAAGAAGAAGACGAAGAAAAGGTATGTTTCATATATTTTCTAACATTTAGAAGAGTTTCATTGGCGTATGTGAGATATCAACGTATTCTAATAGACCCTATCTATTTGATTCTGAGATTGTAGAGCACAATCACGAGGAAGCAGATACAATGATCATGTTTCATGTACTCCACACTGACAACAAGATAACACCATTCGTCACATTAACGTTCACTCTTGTGATAGTGACGTTTTCATCCTTCTGATGGATTTTCTCCCAAACAGCCATTTCCATAGTGAACTCACAGACAGGAAAAACATACACGAGATATGCTCGACGAGAGATCATTGAAACTTCAGAGAAGAAATTAATAACAACATATCTTAGTCTCGAATCCGAACATGAGATCACAGCCTTTCATAAGCATCTTTAAAAAAAATTGAAGAAGATCTGATTTATCACTTCTATGAGTTGGAACTGTAGAAATACGTTACCTATGGAATGGAGTATATACCAAGATAAGAAAAAATCAGGATGGTGGACGAGTTATAATGGGGATGTTTTAGGACCAAAACGTTACCACCAGGTTTTGGGGCATTGAACCCAATATTAAAAAATATCAATTTAAAAGCAATAATGAGCAAAGGCAACAATCAACCAAGACTGCTAATCCTCTCTTTTCTTGAAAACGTATGGAAAATAGCAATAGAAGAAACAGTTGTTCCAACAAAATATTTCAATATACTAGCTCCACAAGCAGCGACTGACTCGTCAAATGTGACTGTAGAGTACAGTGTTTCAGTAAGAGTAACTTTTCAGGAAAACCTTCCTTGCATAGCACTGTACAAGAGTAGTGACTGCAAAATCACAACAGACAATAATATTTTCAGAAGTAGAGAAAACGAAATCAAATAGCTATAAATAGGAATTCCTTATGCTTCAATAATAATGTGAATGTTGCAATAGAAAATGGGCCTGGCATGACCTAATGGTTTGGGCACTCGACTCGCAATCTGTGTTTTCGAATACCACCACCTAACATGTTCGCCCTTTCAGATTTGAGAACGTTATAATGTGACAGTCAGTTCAACGTTTCCTTGATAAAGAGTAGGCCAAGAGTTAGCGGTGGGTAGTGTTGACTAATTGCACTCCTTTTAGTTTATCATTTCAAAATTAGGGAGAGCTAGCGCAAATAACCCTTGAGTATTTTTGCGCAAAATTCAACAAACAAACAAATCAATGGAAAATTATGTTCATTAAGAATATGAATCAGTGATTATAATGCTAATAAAGTTACTTTTTTAACTCAAGTGCATTTATTGGAGGTATGTGTGAGAGTCAAACACATTTATAGTATTTTGCTTACTGAAATATTAATATGTTATGTTTTAAAAGAGATTGTCTTGACCTTTGACCATCAAGCTCCTTAGTGATATTGAAAATGGCTATACTAGTGGTTTTGAAAATTTAATTTTGGAATCCTTAACTCCAAACGTTACTAATATATCAATAAAAATGGAAGAAGAATGGTAGCCTGCATCATATAAGTGAAGTTAAGCCAACTGCTTTAAACGAAGAGACTAATGCTTCCAACCCACTGGTTTTGTAAAACTATATGTTTGCGACACCAACCTGCTTTCAGACAGAAGTCAAGTGTGATCTGAATAAATAAGTTAAACCTTTTATGCTTTCACAATTAACTACAGAAGTGTGTTCACGTCGCCATCACAAAAAATATGTCACTGCATTACAACTAAATGTATCTAAGATAAAATTATTATATAATTACTATATTACTTACAAATAATATCAAGATGAAACTTTCAGTAATATCAGCTAATACCAGAAATAGTTCAACCGTACAAGCCAAGTATACTTCAAAATTCAAATTACTTGAAAACTACACAATTTTTTTCATTCTTAATGAATACGTAATCGTAACGAAAACTTGATCACACAATCTGTCAATATTCCAGTTGCATCAAGAGCAAAATATCCCTACAGAAATATCAGTAAAAACAATGGATACAACATATTTCTCACCTAATATGATGTAGATTATCATTACGAAAGTACACTGTAACTAATATTCCAATTTCTAACAAAGCTGAAAATATCTCTTACCAGAATTGAGAAATGTCAGAACCACCACCATGTTTCTCTTTCAGTGTGTTCCAAGTCCGTGTGATATTAAGAAATGTCTGAACCACCACCATGTTTCTCTTTCAGTGTGTTCCAATTCAGTGTGATATTAAGAAATGTCAGAACCACTACCATGTTTCTCTTTCAGTGTGTTTCAAGCTAGTCAGTGTGATATTAAAAAATGTCAGAACCATCACCATGTTTCTCTTTCAATGTGTTCCAAGCTAGTCAGTGTGATATTAAGAAATGTCAGAACCACCGCCATGTTTCTCTTTCAGTGTGTTCCAAGCTAGTCAGTGTGATATTTACCGTTCATGAACATTGTTCTGCTGCACATATTATGATCGTTTACATAATTATCATCAACAGTTGAGAAAGATTAACTGTCAGCTTCTAAGTCTTATTTCACACCCCAGCTGTTCTAGCTTTGTATGTCGTTTGTATCACAAGTTCTGTTCAAAAGAATTCTGCTACCACTCAGCTGCATATATTAAGCAATTATTTCAAAACATCAGAACAATGTCTTGCAACCAGACATCACTCAGTAGTTCTGAAAGTAAGTGTTAAAATGTTTTTCAACTTTTGGTCTTTCAATCAACCAACTAACTTAAAAATACAATAATTGAGCAGTTATCACACAGCATACTGAAAACGTTTCAATGTGAGCTGTCATTCAATAGTTTGAAACAAGAAACGTCATTTCTTTACCGTTATTAATATTTGAGTCAACAGGTTATCCATTTTTGCTCAAGCAATTTATTCCAGCCTTAATAATTAGATCATTGCAGTATAATGAAGCTTTCATTCAACTACTCCATAATTACCGGATATGCAGTATCAGTTTCCTCCTCCTTATCAAGATCATAATGGTACAGTACTCTTGTCATCAGAGGCAAACTGCTTCTCTTCTTTTGATTCTTGGAGTAACCGGTAGATATGAGGCTATTAATGATGCAATCTTTAAGCATGTAAATATTTTTGATGCACTTACTCACATCATACACTACTGTGTCTCGTAGCTCACCTCATTAAGTTGTTAGCATAGAAGATAAAGACCAGTCCAGTCAGATCTGAGTTACTTACTAGCTGCAGGGGCATACCATAGCTAGAAGTTTTGCATAATCCATCCCTACCCATTATCTGACCAGTAATTTGGGATATATAATTATGTATTCTATACGCTCCTGTATAATTAATGGCATCATCCAGCATGAATGGACAGCCTTGATGAGGATAACCACCAACTGTGCTTCAACCATAGTAATCTTTAAACCCTGGAATGTGTCTTCAAATTCGTTAATCCTCAGGAAGTGTGTATTAGTAACTATTCTGGAGAAACTGCTATAAATTGTTGAAAGACATTATGAAATCTTGAAAGCTGTAGACTTTTTATTTAGCCTCAGGCTGGTGCCAGTTCTTGACCACTGCAATGTTCACAGAATCAATAGGCACTTCATCTCTTCACACTAAATGACCAAGAAAGTTCATTCACATGCACATAAATGCATACATTATCAAGGCCTCTGAAACAACGTGAAATGTGTCATAAAATGTTAGTTTTTTATTTACATTGTTGAGATTTCTCTACCATTGCAGTCCTCTAAATGTACATTAACAAACTCCTTGTGCGATATATTTATTCGTGTGTGTTTCAACTTCTTATTTTAGCACAATCCTCAACTAGAGACTTCTGTTACTCTGGAAACTGTATGTTTGTTTTCGGATCAATTAAAGTGGCTGTGACACTAGGTTCTTTTAGTTTACGTCCATTTTATCTTCTTTACCGTGCCAATAATCATACCAGCTGCGAGCTGAAAAGCTGAATGTCCACAGTTAAATAGTCACACTGGTACACCACAAGCGCTTGAACATAATAGTGTTCGAGTAAGTGCAGTCTGCGTTTTAAACAGATAGTAATTTAAAACAGTATATATCATGTATTGGTTTTATCATAGCAGCAGATTGGAAAAAATGCATTATATTTCATCCATAACACACCAAAGGATCCCATTCGCATCTTCAATAGTACAGCTACGTCCGTCTTAGCACTGTTCTTGGGTTCAGTAGTAAAATAAATATATTTGTCAACCTAAACAATGTCATAATATTAAAGGATAGATACTAAACCATGAAATTAGATAAAAATGTAAATTAAACGAAAGTTTGGGAAAAGAATTTCAAGAGACTTATTTATAGCTAAATAAAAATTCATGGGGACTATAATGATCCTATATGTTTTATTGATATACAAAATAAATTATTGGTTGAAACATTTAGAAAAACTAAATCAACTAACAAAAGATCAAATAGATAACACTTTTCTTAACTTCCATAATAGCGTCATTTTTAAGTTTTTGGATTATGTCTTAAGTGAAATCGAAAAGAAAGTGTTATCCCGTGGTTAAAACTTTGTGATTCTTCTTACATTTTGAGGGTTATCTGTTATTTTTCGATCAATTAGTACAAAAAACTATGGGATAAAAATTATTTAGTAGCCTTAGAGTTTAAACAAGTGGAATAGCTCTTTTATTGTCAAAGAGCTATAATTTTAAACATAAGTCACATAGTCTTAACAAATAATTGTTAGTATTAAAGAAACTAATAAAAATAGCTATATTATACCTTATAAAAGCTTTGGAATAAGACTGACTATATTTCTAAAATGTATAACATTTTAAATTATGATACTAAAATTAGAAAGATATCCCACAATGACAAAAAAACAACAAAATAACGAATTATTTAATTCAACTAATAAAGAGGTCAATTAATTATACAAGAAGAATATGCTAGAATAAGACCACCAAAACACATAAAATATTGTCCACTCGACCAATAGTTTCTGATATAGTCATTGGTGTACTTTGGTGACAGATTTTCTTGTAGCCAGATTTTGTTAAACAAGACCGGTGTCTGTAGGTTTACTTTC